CTGACGCACCCCCTCCCACGCTCACCTACATCAGCCCCTCGGCTTTCCTCTCTCCTCAGCGCCCGAGGCGCCCTCCCACCCCAGGGCCTTTGCACACACTGGCCCCCAAAAGGCTTTCGACCCAGCACCCACCCAAAGCCTGTGCCTGTCACAGACCTGCTCGCCCTCAGCGTTCACCTGTAACGTCACTTCTCACGGAGCCCTCCCCTGTGCCTGGGGCAGTGTAAGCCCCTTTTCTGTACTGTCAGCCCAATCGTTTTCTCCGTGGAACTTAGCACTTCTGTAATTACACGGTTTGTGTGGGGGTTTTTTTCTAAAATTTCTGGTTTTTGCTTAACATTTGTCTCCCCAACTAGACTGTATGTTTCTCAAGAGACCAGACCATGCCTATGAGATGCTGAACCCCAACACAAACTTGATGCTCAATAAATATTAGCTGAATAAACACACAAGTAAACAAAGAAGCAAAGCACCTGGTCCAAGGTCAAATCAACTCACATCTCACAGCAAATCTGTACAGAAAAGGGGGAAAGAATGTGAATCTTACAGCGTAATGAGGAGGCAGCGTTGGAATGGCTAGCCTGCCTCCATCCTTCCGTTCTTTCATTCTGTTTTCTTTTCTACCCACAGTGGGCTCTTTCTGCGCTTGCACGAGTTCTAACAACAACACCTACTGGTGTTTGCGGACAGTTAATGAGACGCATAATTTTCTTTTCTGCGAGTTCGCCACTGGCTTTTTGGAGTATTTTGATATGAATACAGATCCTTATCAGGTAAGTCCGTGTGTTTTCATCCCGTGGAGGAGATTGAGAATAGAATAAGCAGAACAAGAGCCTGACTAGACCGTCCTGGCCTCTCCGTCCACAGCTCACGAACACGGTGCACACGGTGGAGCGGGGCATTTTGAATCAGCTGCACGTCCAGCTCATGGAACTCAGAAGCTGCCAAGGGTATAAGCAGTGCAACCCAAGACCTAAGGGCCTTGACGTGGGTAAGGAAACACGATTTTTTTTTTCTATGTTACCTGGAAAATTCTTTGTGTTTTCAAGTTTCCTGCCTTGGAAATGTTTATATGCATAGAAACATACACGTGCAGGGAAATCTGGCCAGCCAGACAGTTCCAAACACAAATTCTCCTGTAAATTTAGCTCTGGGTGCTGAATGAAAAATGGAACGCACCAGGAGATTTGGTGAGCGTTTTGTCCCAGTCTCTCCCACAGGGCTTCTGTTAGTAAAGCTCGATTCGGATAGAAGCATCCCCTGGAAGATGGGATGAAAGCATGGGGGATTGATTTGTTTTTGCTGTCAACAGTCATAAGATATACTCTAGGTCAGTGGTTCTCAACCTTCCTAATGCCGCGACCCTTTAATACAGTTCCTCATGTTGTGGTGACCCCCAATTTCATTGTTACAAATTGAACATAATTAAAGCATGGTGATTAATCACAAAAACAATATGTAATTATATATGTGTTTTCCAATGGTCTTTGGCGACCCCTGTGAAAGGGTTGTTCGAACCCCAAAGGGGTCACGACCCACAAGTTGAGAACCGCTACTCTCGGTAAACCAGGAGATTTTTTTTTTTGAGGGAATTTGGATGGAAGCACAGGGTGCCCTGTTTTTGCTTACCACAATTTGGAGCTCCCCCAGTTGGACCCAAGCCCGTGACCTCGTGCATTGATTTCTCTCGCTGGGATTTTACATCTGAAATTAGAGCTGCTTGAGCCATTCATTGTCTTGGGATCTAAAAGGATAAGAGGGCCTGCGTGGAATCGAGCAGATGTTCCCTCCCTGGTCTGCAGTGCTTAATTTATTTCTCCTTTGGCCCGTGGGGATGCACTGTCCATCCCACCGTGAATGAGAATACCTATTTTCTCAGGCTTCTCATAGAAATGTAAATAGCAGCTGTCCGCAGAAGGAAGGAGAAAGACCCAAAGCTGGCCGAGGCCGTGGTGACGGCATAGCAGACCAACCCCAAAAGGGTGAAGAGCTGGGCACGGGCTGCAGGGAGTGATTTGCAGGAACCTCTGTGTGAGGCTGAGTTTTCTGTGCCCTTCACAGCCTGTGTCTCCGTGGGAACCAAGCAGTTCCCTGGGTCATTGACTTGAAAGGTTGGGGGTAGAGGCGAATCCTAAAAGGGCCAACATCCCCACCTGACATTCCCACCACCGTTGGTCCTGAAGGCTTTCGAGCCATGAGAGCCCCATAAGAAATTATAAATCCCACAAGCAGGGCCCCGTGTCAGCTTCCATCAACACCGCTCAGCTAGCACTCCAGGGAAAGGAGTGGCAGCCGGAAGAGTCCCGTCCCGACTCGCAAACTAGGTCCTTCGGTCACTGACCCCACTCCGCTCAAATCTTTTCATGGCCCCTGCTTATCTGTTAACCTTTTCTTCAAATCTTACAAAAAGAAAGAAAGAAAGCCCACAAAGGCCTGGAAACTAAAGCAACTCTTAGAGGCACTGGAAACATTACACCCAGATACTTCTCCCCAAGGAGCACAGCTCGCTTATTGGTGATGACATAACAACTCCCCTCAGTGAAACCTGACCGAGCGGATCCATGGCGAAGTGACCCGCCAGGTGGGCGCAGTTACTGCCCTCAGACTTCACGTCGCCCCCCCCACTTTCTAGACGGTTCCTAAGGGAGGTGATTATTGGCCCTTTTTTTCCAAGTGTTTTGTCTAAAAATAACCGAAATGTAACTTTTACCGAGACTTGCACAGTCTTCTGGAAGCACTTTCTGGCTGTTTTCACAAGGCCTCTCCTCCTTCCCGCCCCCCACCCCCTTTTCATGTGAAAGCTCTTACGTGATTTATCTTAAACCTCTTTATTTATAGCTTTTGACCCTCACTTTGAACCCAGTAGAAAAGCTCTGTTGGACTTCGCGGTATTTAACAGATTTTGTTTCTTTCTAGGACTTAGGTGTTGTGCATGGGAAGTCTATGTAGTGAACGGTTTTGTGAGTCCTCACACTAACATAAATTCCTCTTGTATTTTCCTCGATCAGGGAATAAAGACGGAGGAAGCTATGACCTACACAGGTATTCACCCTTTTTTATTCTCCCTGGCAGCTTCTTTCCCAATAACTGCATGATCCAGCCCTTTCAACTAATTTCCGTTTCTCACCTCATTGTGCAGAGCATAGCTGGGGCGCATGCTTTTCCTAACGGCACTGGCCACCACCTCGTGCCCTTGGGTCCAGATCTGTCCTTGGGTCTTGACATCAGCTCACTGTCACAACACGACGTCCCGGAGCCTTGACTCACTCCGGGGCTCGCGTGCTTGCTGGGTGATGCTTGTGAGCGTGGAATGATGTGAAGTGGGGGCCTGGGGAGGGGGTGGGGGAATTATGTTCCTTGTGGTGCTTACGTGTTGATGCACTGGAGAGGCTTCATGGACACGGGTTGGAGATCTTTATGAACTAACGTCAGGAGCACAGCCAGAGTAATGGGGGTTTGAGGAGCCTTCTCAAGGTGAAGTGGGAGGAAGTGGAAGCGGTTCCTTGTTAGCGTTGCTTAATGAGCGATGCTGCTGAAAAGAGCAGGGATGGGACTCACAAGGCTCATCCTTGCGGGGGTTGGTGGTTGAAGAGCAGGTGCTGGGGTTCGGGACGGGAACCAGGAGTAAGACATTCAGGGAGGTGTCACCATAGCTCGGAGACAATGCTGCCCAACACACACACTTCCTAAACAGGCCTCAGCCCAGTGACCGTGTTTCCCTCCAGCCCCCACCCACCCCTCGTACCTGCTCATGCTCCAGGCCAGGGGCCCAGATGCCTGGTGGCCATGTCATTGGTCACCCGGCATCGTCAGCCCTTCCACTCCAAGCATAGACCTCAGGCAGGTTTGTCAGAAAGGTGCCATGTGGGGCAAGACGGTCAGCCCTTACCACCTCTGTTTCGGGGAAAGTGAGCGCCATGTGTCAGCACCTTAGTTAATGAATGCTTTTGGGAGAAAACTTCCATCAAAGGCACGTGGACTTAACTGGTACCATCCATACTGGTATCGTCTTGGAAACTAAAGAACATTGGTGTTTCAGGGCTCCCTGTCCACCCACCCCCACCATCCGGTCCCTCCTTTGGGAGGGCTGCTCCAGTGGGACCAGAAGCAAAACAGTAGGAACGGTGGTGGGAAGATGTAAACAAATGAAACCAGGAAAGCTGGACTTCTGAGGCTACTTGATAACATTTCTGTATCTCTTCTTTTTCTCCCCTCTCTGTCGTCTCCTGTCCTCGATCTGCCCCACCCCGACCCGCATCACCCGTAGCCCACGTAGGACCGAGCAGAAGAACCCCCTCTTAAGCTGGTCTCACCCGGGATATGGGCTGACGAGGTAATACCCCATACTCCCGCACTGCTCCCGGGGGCACTTAACCACACTTCCAAAGTGTGACATGTTAAGTGGCCCTGATGCTGGATATTGTCTTTATGGTTATTTTGTGATGCACTCAGATTTTACAGCTAAGGGGCTTTCGGTGTGGCCTTTTGTGTCTCTCGTGGGAGAGTAAAGGATATGACAGGTTGTTTAGGACACAGTCTGGTCAGAGCTGAGTCAGCGTTCTCCATCGCGTCACCCCTGGACACCTTGGAGATGAAGGGTGCTTACCTGCTCTCCAGCTGGAGTTAAATGCGAGCACCTAGGGCTCTCCCTTCCCTCATCCCTGCCGCCTCCTCTAAACGGGCCAACGCCATCGTTTCTGAGGTTGACTGGCACAGCTTTGAAAACCTTAGTCCGTGGAGTCCTCTCTCTGGTCTTGTGGCCACTGAAAGCGTGTGTGCAGGGTGAATACCTGTTGCTTGTTTTTCTCAATTCCTTACCAAAGGCCAGATCTAAGGATACTGTCTAAGTCACAGTGACTGGCATTTCATAAGCCACCATCCCATCATTGGTGAGGCAAGCTACCTTTCCACGGCTACCGTGTTGTGGGCAGGAAATCATGGAACAGGGTTACAGAGAGCATTTGCCTGTCACACCTGGGCACTCATTGGACACCCAAATACAGAGTTGGATGTGGCTTTCCCCGCTTGCTGTCTCTTGTGGGATTGAAAGGGAGCAAATGCAGAAGCAGCCACTGTGTGTGGAGCTGCCGGGAAGCTGCCATCTCCAGATGGGTTTACCAGCACGCCGCCCTCCAGCCATGGCACTGCTCGGGTTCACAAGCCTTGGCTTTGTTTGTTTTTAATCTTTATTGTTGTATTACATATGTCCCCCTTTTTCTCCCTATTCACTCCTTGTAGCCCCACCACTTCCCCCACCGCAGGCCTTCACCACCCTATTGTCTGTGTCTGTGTTAATGCACATGTGCATACAAGGTCTTTGGTGGATCTCTTCCACACCACCCACTCACCCCCGCTTTCCCTCTGAGATTCCACAGTCTGTTCCATGCTTCTATGTCTCTGGATCTATTTTGTTTATCAGTTTATTTTGTTCATTTGATTCCACCTATGCGTGAGATCATGTGATACTTGTCTTTCTCTGACTAGCTTATTTCGCTTAGCATGATACTCTCCAGGTCTCTCTATGCAGTCTCAAAAGGTAAGAGATCCTTCTTTATCGCTGCTGTATAATATTCCATGGGGTAAATGTACCATAGCTTTTTTATCCACTCACCTACTGATGGGCACTTGAGCTGTTTCCAGATCTTAGGTTTGTAAATTGTGCTGCTATGAATGTAGGGGTGCAAACATTCTTTCTGATTGGTGTTTTGGGTTTCTTAGGATATAGTCCTAGAAGTGGGATCACTGGGTCAAATATTTGGCAGTTCCATATTTAATTTTTTGAGGAAACTCCAAACTGTTTTCTATAGTGGTTGCACCAGTCTGCATCCCAACCAGCCGTGTACTAGGGTTCCCTTTTCTCCACATCCTCGCCAGCACTTGTTTGTTGATTCGTGATGGTAGCCATTCTGACAAGTGTGAGGTGATACCTCCTGATGTTCTCATTTGCATCTCTCTGATGATCAGTGACTTGGAGGATCTATAATATAAAAG